GGTCTACAATGGGGTCCCTGGGGTCCCTTGCTTGTAGTAGGGGGTATAGAGTTGGTGGAGCAATTGTTGCCGGCATTGTCTCCATCTTTGGACCCGTGGCTGCCAGTTGGATGACATGACATAATGTGATGATTCGTATGTGACAAGTATTCTATAGAAATATTTGTTTTTATTGATATGCACTTTTGTCTGTGCACGCGACACGTAAATGTTGTCAGTACACATGAGATATAAATGTTGGATGGGCATATTTTTTGTGAGAACGTTGTACGTTTCAGGTTCTTCGACAGTATGACATAACAGGAGGTTCGGGAATGCATGTGTTCATCCGGTTCTGCAACGTTTGGACTGGCTTTGCTCATTTTAGATGGAGCCCCATATTTGAGAGACTCGATCGACTCAGGAAGAGGCTCCACCGAAGGCACCGCACCAAATCTGGCAATCCCTGTGCGATGATGTGGAAGTGAAAGGCCAGGAGTGGTTGCAGAAGGAGTTGGAAGGAATGGACGCGAATGAATTGCGGAGGCTATGTGTACCTGCAGGTGTTTCTTGCCGGGCAGGGGACTCTCGGAGATCAAAGGCTGAGTTGGTGGAACTGCTGACGAAAGCAACTTCTCCATCCATTGAGCCTTGACAACAGCTTTAGGAAAGAAGCGTTTGTTTGTCTTTCCGTTCTGATTGGTATGTTGGAATTTTGCTTTTGTTGTTGTTAGTTTTCAGGACGGTGGTGAGTGTGATGTTCTGACATGTCAGCGATAAGGTAACCGCTGAGCAACTGAAACTGGAGGCGGTACAGCAAGGCCCCAATGCACGGGCGTGGCTTCGTCGCAAATTGAACACTTTCTCGGCCAAGGTAGCCAAGGATTCAGTGGACGGCCGAAGCCCGCTGGCGGCGCTGGGTGCTGAAGTCGGTGTGGAAGACTGTCTGTCTAAGAAGGCGCTGATCGAGCGCATGATCGCCGTCTTGCTGCCAGAAGAATCATTGGACAGCAGCGCCGCGGTGCAGCGGCATGCTTGGCGATTGCTTCGGTCCTGTCTTGGAAGACAAGCAGCAGGCGAGCAAATCGATGCCGATTTCTTGAGCACAGAGGTAGTCGACGCAGATCTTCGGCTGAAACTTCTTGCATGGTGTTTGTGCATTCCGATGGACACTCTGGTGGGACGTCACTATAGCTCTCAGCAGACATTGCTGGAATTGATTCGTAGTCTTGGTTGCATTATGACACACTTCAATTCCGTTTCGGACGTTTGGGCCACACTGGATGTTGACTTGCAAAAACTTGATGCTGATGCTGCATTGCAGCGCTTTCCCAACCTTGAACGCGAGCACGTCATCGCTTTGCTGGCTTGCGTGTTGCACGAGAACCCAGTGAAAGCTCAAGGACGGCGGTAGTTTGATCAAACAGCTGCAGGTTCAGTCTGTTGAAGGTTGTTTTTGCTTAGCACGAGAACATGGAGTTGTTATTGGTTGTTTCCTTGACAGGTTTGTTTTGTCTAACGTTTGCTTTCATCAATGTTTTTGGTTGGGTTGCAGGATGGAAACAGTTGTTGGATTTTGCGGATTCCGTCGATATGTTTGATGTTGCTGAACGTCTTTGGGATCTGCAGACAGTGCGGATGGAACGGCAGTGGAATGAACCAACAGGCTTCGAAGATCAAGAGGACGTTTTAGAGGCGAGGGTGCATGACAGCATGACTCTTTATAGGTAGGGTACCTGTTTATTTTCTTCATTTTTCGTCGGAGTGTTTTGGTACAATGCTTTCAACCGAATGTTTTGTCTCGTGTAGTACGATCCGTTTGCGAGGCCGTTCTACAAATTCTGCATGGCCGTAGGGCCACAGTGGAGACGGATGGCAAGTCTCGGAAGCGCAAGGGTGCTTTGGATGATGCCGACAAGGCCTTTCTACGTGGTCTCATGCGAAGGTATGGCTTGGAACTGATAGATCATCCGGAAAAGCCGTGTCTGTGGCAGGAAGTGTTCACCAAAGCAGATTTTCTGCAGACACTGTGGTTCGTCATACAGCGACTTCTGCATCCACGTGCATCTGGCGAGTTGACGGCTCTGCGTTGCCTCCATCAACCTGATCGCATTGCTGCACTTAGAGCTTCCAGGAGTCGGGGCGTTGAATGTAGAGGGGTAAATTGTTTGGTATGGTCGTACATTCTTTAGTTTTTGGACGTCAGTATCGTTGTTGGTTGTCGATTGGGTAAAAGGCTTTACATCATAACCCTTGAGCCTTGCGAAGGAATGGCGTCCATGCCGATGTGTTGTCCCTGCATCAAGAGTTGCTGGAGTGGCAAATGGACACGGGGACGAGTAGACTGCCGAATGAATCTGAAGACAGGCCTTTGTCTTCGAAGATTGACAGCTACAAGGAGAAGGACAGAAGGAATCGCATCTCAAGCATGAAGAAGGCTTATCCTCCTGATTTTGAACCTTTAGAGCAGTTGTCCTTGGACTGTCTTACTGGAGCAGGTGACTCATCGACAGGTGTGCAGTGGCGTTCTGAGTTTGAAGAGCAACTTATGCTTTCTGTACCTGGCTGGACAGAGGATGCAAAGAAAAGTCGCACTTTTCATACATTGCAAGAAGTCCTCCAATGCGGCGATGTGTTTCTTCAACAATGTTTTGCGACGCTGCAATCTTATGGATTGTCTCTTCAGCGCAAATTGAGCGTTCTTGCTGCCAAGTTGCAATGCACTCCTAGCATACCAGGTGTGGCGGAAGCTATGTCCACTCGATTACTCTCAACTCCACAGGACACAGAGGAGATGGAGCTCAACAGATATGTTTGTCGGTTGTGCGACTTTCAATGTGCAGACAAGGAAGTCTTGCAAGAGCACATCAAGGACGCTCATTCGAATGACACTGAGGTTGCAAGAGCATGGGTGGAATATCGCAAGAAAGTGGTTGGATTATTGCATCATGCAGGACCTTCGGTGTCCTGGCGTTGGTTAGTGTCATTTTACTTGCTTAGGCAATTCTTGTGCATTCGATGTTCTGTGATCTATTTGGTCATCATGGAAAATGTTGTTTTTTGAGTCCCTGATTTTTTTTAAGAAAATCAGGGACTCAAAAATCAGTGTTTTTCTCCTTAGCGGAGTCTGTGCACTAATCGGTCATTATGGAAAATGTTATTTTTTGAGTCCCTGATTTTTGTAAAAAAATCAGGGACTCAAAAATCAGTGTTTTTCTCCTTAGCGGAGTCTGTGCACTAACCGGTCATTAGGGAAAACGTTGTTTTTTTGAATCCCCGACTTTGTTAAAAAAATCAGGGACTCAAAAATCAGTGTTTTTATACTTAGCGGGGTTTGTGCACTAATCTGTCATTGTGGAAAAGGTTCTTTTAAAGACTCAGGAACTTGACAATGAATGTATTCGATGAGATAAGTTTTTGAGTTTCAGACATATTCGAAAACGTGTCCGGTAAATCGATCCGGTCTCAGGTTCCCTCTTGGACTGTGCAACGCAGCTTGATGGCCAATGCGGATGCAGCATTGCGAGAGCCAGGACGGGATGGAGCACTGCGTGAGGAACGGGCATGTGTGGTTTGTGCTCGTAGATTCTGGAGCGAAGAGTTGCGTCCAGTTATTTTGTTCCAAGATCCAGCTGCTGGAGCTCCAGAGACGGTGGACGGAGAAGAGGAAGATCAGCGAGTGAAGAAGATTGCACCTTCGCAACAACGTCGACTGTGTCGAGTTCTGGGCGTACAGCGCTACCTGGAGCGTTGGCCACAGCTACAGGCCCGTCCAGAGGCCATTGCAGAGCTGAAGGCATCGGCGGTCGAGCATCCATTCTTGAAGGAGGAGCTGCTCCTTTTACATCGACGCCGAATGCCAGCTGATGTCAGGGACCCATGCGACGTTTGCCGAGAATGCTGTGGTCCCTTGACATCAAGCATGGTGAGCCTTCCTCGGTACAGCTTAGCCAATGATTTGTGGATCGGTCGACAACTTCCAGCTTTGAGAAACTTGGCAGCGGCCACCAAACGTTTGTTACCAATGGTGCGCACCTGTCTGCAAGTCACTGTTCTGCAGCCCGGTAACCTCGTTCGAGAGGAACGGCAGAAGGGCTTCATCGGCAACAGCATCTTTTTGCCGCAGGCTGCGCCCACAGCCGTTCGAGCTGTCCTTCCGCCGCCAGAACAGGACATGCAGGAGTCCATTCTCTTTGTTTTGGTCGGCGATGGACAAAACAAAACAGCCCTTCAAAGCAGTGCATTGTTGAAGGCCCCTCGTGGCGAGTACGAATCTGCAGTTCGATGTCTTCAAAGCACTTCGCCGTACTACGAAGAAGTCACGCGGCCGTCAGATTTGCCCACCTATTTTGAACGTTGTGGCGTCGCTCATATCTGGTGGTTCATCGAGGATCCCACAGTCAAAGACCCAAATACAGAGCTGGCGAAGCATCGTCAGTCTGCCGGTGAATGTTTAGCTTTCTGGAAAGATTTGATGCATGTTCTTTGGGATGTGGCCTCCTACTACTGGAACCACGACATCAGGTTTACACCTTTGTTTCATTGCTTTGGAGGCATCAATCGCAGTACCGCCGCGCTTTGCGCCTGGCTGGTGATCTGGTGGGATCTCAGTGTCGAGGATGCCATTGACTGTGTGCTCCAGCAGCGTCCAAGCCTGAGACCGTGGAAGCGACGAGCATATGTCTTGTATGCACTGCGATCCTTGGAGCATCACAAGCATGCCTGGCGTTGGGAATTTGAAACGTCGTGACCAAAGTGTCGACAAAAAGCTGTGAATTCGTGGCCAAACTGGCTAGAAGGACCTGGGTCCACGACCGGAAGTTGTTCGAAGTCGGCCCTTGTTCCGACTGAATGTGCAGAGACCCCATGAGGAACGGGATCCACGACCGAGAGTTGTTCGAAGTCGATCCTGTTCCTACTGGGTGCGCGAATATACCTGATAACCGATAAAATTGTGCAAACAGAGCTCTATAGACATCTTTTTTTGTTCGATTGTTGGACTTGAATGATATTCTTTGCTTGTTGTGATTTGACCTGAAAGACCAGTTTCGTTTCCAGAGACATTGAGTCTTTTGAACAGGTTGAGCGGCAACAAGTGGGACCAAATGAAAGTGGACACCACGCAATGGAATTCCAGGAGGCTGGCATGTCGATGCCACATATAGTCACCAGCCACGAAGTTACAAGTATCGGCGAAAAGCTGTGAATTGGCTATTGCAAAGTGTCGTGACCAAACTGATTAGAAGGACCTGGGTCCACGACCGGAAGTTGTCCGAAGTCGACCCTTGTTCCAGCTGAACGTGCAGAGACTCCACAAGGCACGAGATCCACGACCGAGAGTTGTTCGAAGTCGATCCTGTTCCGACTGGGTGTGCAACTATATCTGATAACCGACAAAACAACATGAGTTGAACTGTGGGTAATTTGTTTTGTTTTTCAAGTGTTGCATTTGTATGAGCATTGGTTGTCCTGATGCCAGGTTGGGACGTGCGATTTCGCACACTTCGGCGGCTCTTACTACCGGGACTAGCGTTTGAGCTCGACCGGCGCTGGATAAAAAAGAATCGACCGGGACTACCGTTTGGGCTCCGAAGTACAGTGCAACAGAATATACATTAATAGATTTGGTAATAACGTGATAATAGTATCATAATCATAATGTATATATATATATATATATAGATGTATATATCTTTATTATATATTGTGTCATCTCATCATCATCTCATTTTGCTTCATCTTAATGTTTTGAATCATCATATATCATCTCTTCATTTCTTTAGTGCTCATTCATCTTCTGTTACTTCGCTTTTCTTCCCTTCTATTTGTTCTCTTCCGCCTACTTGCTTTCGGGCCACCCTGTCGTCTAGTTTTTCAAGCTCTTTTGGCGGCCTGGTTTCACCTTTCCAGGCACTGCCCCGCCTTCTGTGCCCTGGCTGCGTTCCAAGCCCGGCAGCCGAATCTCCCGCGTGGCGGTGCGATCACTGTGTGATGCCAACTACCAGGGAGGCAACCTGGAGAACGGCACCTTCAATGTCACTGAGAAGAACCATCGAAGTTGCTTGGTCGGTGGGACTCAGTGAAGAGCAGCGAGTTTTCCGTGTTGAAGGGCTAATCATGCCAAGGTGTTTTCATCAATTCACTCATCAAGGTGCTTGGGCCAGTTTGGGCATGTTTTCACCAATCCCACTGATCCTCATCGCTAAGGCTACGCAGAGAAGTGGGGCTATGACTATGAGATGTTGTTCCGCAGCCCCTTGAGCGATCAAGAACCTCAGTTTGGGAAGCTACAGGTGGCCATCGACTTATTGGGTTCGGACGATCCGCCTGACTACTTCTTCTGGCTCGATTGTGATGCCTTGGTCACCAATCGCTCCATCTCCCTGGAGGAGCTGGAGCGCGATCGAGCTTTGGCGATCGAGGGATCTAGGTGGTTTGCCATGCGGACACCCCTTTTCGATACCAGGGGGAATTTCTGGTTGATGAGGGTGAGGGGTGAAGATGATGGTGAGAATGACCAGATCACATGTTCTTCCTGTGCTGATTTGTTTTTCCACCTGCAAGATAAGGGCTCCGTGGCTACAGACATTTGTAGTATAATGATGATGATAGCCAAACCCCGATGTTGCAAGAGTTGTTCGTCATTTTGGGCAATCCCGCTGGGCATTCTTTTGGGCTGGAAGGATCTCTTGGAGACCTACCAGCTCCACGCGGCCCACTTCGTGGTGGCGGAGGAGGTGTCGGGGATCAACTCGGGCATCTTCCTGGTGAAAGGCGCGGACGTCGGGGACCGGGAGGTGTCCTGGCGGGTTTTGTTTGGAGGCGATGGGGAAGTCCCACCCAAAACTCTTGGTTAGACCACCGTTGGTGGTTGAGAACATCCCCAGTTGAAAGTGGGAGAACAGAGGAGCAGGTCACCAGGTCCTAGATACCCTAGGTCTTGCAACCAACCCATACAGTTCGACCCGTAACGGTCTCGTCTTGGCGGACCAGCCCAGTGCCCAGTGCCCACCACGGGCGGAGAGGGGGTCTTTGGGAGCCACTGAAAGCATGGTTGTTTGTCAGTCTTCATCACGGTTGTTGGTGTGCTTGCTTTCTTGAAAAGCCTCCCTGCCGAAGGATTCTTCAGACGCTTGATTTTGTTTCTGGTACGCCGCGGGTGACGGTTGTCTTCCCCTTTTGGCCCATGGCGGATCGCTCGAATGGCATCCGTCCGTCTTCTCAGGCGGTGCGGAAAGGCATGGGCTCCGTTTCTTGAGGGCCGCTATGACCAGCGACTGGCGCTTCGTTTGGGATCAGACCATGCTGCTCCTGGGCCAGAGATGCTCAGAAAGGCTGCAAACTAACTCCCCCCCAAAAAATTTCAGCCAGGCCAGGCATGTATAGGTTTTCACCTGCAGGTAGTAGATAGTAGTAGAGGACTAGCGAGGTAAAAGAGCCGAGTGTAGATGTGGCACAGGCATTGCGAATTGGAGCATTTGGTTTGCAGATGTTTGCAGCACTGCATTTCAATTGGGATTGAACTTGAGGACCAGCAAGGACATGGGCTGAAGAAACCAGGGGGCCACCAGCAATCGTGAACGCACCAGCAGGCTACAGCACAGGGCCACTGAAACGTCGGAACCAGACGTCCGAAGACGGTCAAACAGTCATAGGCTTCCTTTTGTTTTGATCTTGTTTGGGTTGCAGGGAAGTGACCTATTTCAGTTGTAATGACTAGCCTGGATACAAACTGTAGTGGGTGAGCATGCAGTGGTTCGTATAGCTACATAGAGTCATAGAGCCCTCCCGCCTGGCTGATGTGAAACAAAAACCCTCCGAACGAGGTTGGACCAAATGGCCCGAGACTCGGACCTCTACGCGGATGACATGTGCTATCAGTGGCGCACCACGGGAGCTTCGCACGACTTCGACTGGGCACCACACTTCGGGGTGGTGCCGCAGCAGGTGGGTCTGCGGTGTTTGCGGCTTCTGTGGCTTTTGGTGTCATTTTCTGCCAAGTGGTCGGTGGTGATTGGGTTTGGTGAGATGACTGAGATGACCTGCCGCATTCGGCAGAATTGCATTCGGCAGAATTGTTGCTTCAAACATCTTCAAACCCAAGGGTCCGTCACTGTAGACTAGATAGACGAGAATGAACCAAGATTGAGTTGGCTTTTGGGGTTTGACACTGACCGCCTTTGACTGATCGTGTCCCCTTTGTTGGTTGAAAAACCTCGATGAAGAAATGCTGGAGGTCATTCAGAGGTACACGGTACACGGTTCACACCAAAAACGCTTCCACCCGTAGACTACCCAGATGACAGCATGTGGCTGTAGGTTCAAAGCCGGCAAACCTTGGTTGACGACCAAATGAACAGAATAGACAGAGCAGACTACAAGAGACTCCAGGTTTTGGGAGTCCAGGTTTTGACCCCTGTAGTGATGGTCCTATCTCCAGACATACCGTTTTGGACGCGCATCGCCTGGTTAGGCCTTGAACTTGTATGGCCAGGGCTCTGCCTTGCAGTGGGGTGCTTCAGCTTGGCAGCGTGGGGACTTCATTCTACACCTGGCAGGGTGTCCACTGGTGGAGCTTCCTTGCCTCCAAGCCTTCGAGGAAATCGCCCAGTGGGTGGAGGAGAGCCATTGAAGACCAGGCAGCCAGCCGATCAGAGAAAACCATATTTGATGGGTGTGAATGTTCCTCTCCTACCAGCGCCAGCACAGGTGGACCAGCCTTGCGTGCCGAGTTGCACAACTCTCAGCCCTGCAAGCTTAGAGATAGACCGGGAACCATTCGGTCACCTTCGCACGTGATGCGAAAGCAGTGGACTCGGATCTGATTTCAAGGACCTCAATGAGACGATGATCTGGAAAGAAAAATACGGAGATTGCAGCACGGGAGAAGCCCTTGAAGGGCCGATGCTGAAGGCCAAGTTGTTTGGAAGGAGAGATCTTTCAAATGTCCAAGGCCTTCTTCACCTGACATGTTGGGCGCAGCATCTTAGGGTTTGCGGATGAAGAAGGCGTGCACTGAGAGAAAAAAGGGCGCAAGGAGACATTGATGATGCCGGATCCTTCCAGCATCTTCCACCTTCCTACGGTTGAATCACCTCGTTCTGCGCATTACTCACATTGCGGACCAATCACCCAAGGTTTTTGGAAGACACACCAGCGTGCCCAGGGAGACATTTCCTCCTCCAGGATCGTTGCCCCCAGTCGGACCTCCAGTCACCGGTCGCATCCGTCGTATTTTTCTCCAGGAGATGCAGCAGGCGCGCCTGGAGCTCTTGCGATCTCAAGATCTTCAAGCCATGGCCTTGGTCCCATGGTCTGACCAACAGTGGTGTCAATTGGAGAGACCAAAATGACTCAGTGTGACACGGTCTCTCGTTTTTGTCGGGTGGCAGGGATGTGACTGATCGTCTCTGGAAGGCCTCTTGTGGAGCGGACCTGGTTTCGAGCCTTCTCAGTTGCAGGATGCCTTCAGAACTATTGAATAGTGCGACATTACGTAGCCTCAGCGCACCTTGCAACGCACCAGAATCCCAACACTGCACGATGCCACGTCAACATACGTCAACCCCCGAAATGAACAGCTCAACGCAGTCACCAAAGCAAGCTCAGGAGCCCGAGCAGCCACGAACCTGCAAAGTAAAAGGTCAGGTAATGGTTTCCATCCATTTCGAAGAAGACATGTTTCCTCTGAACACTCTTGGCCACAGAAGCATTGGTTTGAACACCAAACGGGTCCATCGGAGCCCAACTGCTCACCGGAGCCCGGGCCGCCATGGAGTACCAACGCCGCGAGGGTGAGACTCACGAGGCTCACGCCTTGCGGCTCCTGGAGATCCTCCAAGGACGTGACCCACCTCAGCAGAAGGAGGCGGAAGAGGTGATGGGTGAGGAGAGGGAAAAGCTGAAAAGTTGAGTCCAGAGTTCCAGATGGCTTGTGACCACCCAAGGGGGCCAGCCACCGAATCTGTTCATATCTTTTCCAAGGTGTTGAGTCGATCAAAGGATGGTGCGGATGTTGGATGGGGTCTTGGGAGTGGTCTTGGGATAAAGAAGATGGGGAGTGAATGGGAGTGAAGTCTTCAAACATCTAAGTCTTCCGGTCTTCTTTTGTGAGGAGCTTGGAGGATACTCACATGGTCGGGGCTTGGAAGATGCTGAAGCCATCCTTGCGGCGATGCTGGGCGTAGAGTCGGGTTGGCGCCAGCTGTGGCCGAGCTGGGAGTTCGGAACGGGGTGCTGTTTGGGCCCAGTGGGCATTGAAGTGTTCAGATCACTGAAATGAAAAAAAAAGGAACACATGACAGGATGAGAGATGCCATTTGAGGAAATCGGCCGAGAAGCAGAGCCCCATGGTGCTGGAATTGCTGAAGAATCTTCAGCAGTGTGCGGTTTACACAGATACGCCCAACTTCGAGACGAACCGAAAGCTTTGGAATGCCTATGCGCAGAGCTGGGCGACGGATGCTGAATGGGTGCAGCGCATGTCGAAGGACGTGTCCAAGCCGTCCGCTGAGCTGGCCTTTGTCGGCGACGAGTGGTCCGATGCCGAGTCACTGACCGAGGTCCTCAAGGACCGGGTCTGGACATCGCAAGTGGTGGTGACCGGGTCTGGAGTCCGGTGTTTTGCCCGGCAATGGGCTCCCCCCCCCCAATACCAACAGCGTAGCACTGCTGTCTTGGACCTGTCACCTGTCTTAAAGCATCCGCCTGAACGCCTCTGAACGCGCTAGGAGTGGCTCTTTCCGCACTTGGCCACCACCCAGACAGTGGCTGAGATCGGCAGTGGCGGTGGCCGAGTGGCCGCTCAGGTGGCAGAGAAGGTTGGGCGCTTGGTTTGCTTTGACATCAGTGAGACGATGTTGAAGACTGCGCAGAAGAAGCTCCAGGAGATGCATGGAAACGTGCCATGGTTGGCCCAAACATTGAAGTACTTAGTTGGTGTTGGATCTTGTAGAATCTTTGGCTTAAGCAGGTGGGGTCCCAGCTGGCATCTTTTCTGCCGACCTAGCCAGGTGGATTTCCATCTCCTGCAGGGCGATGCGCCATACCCTGCCCGATTCCATGAAACCTTCGATGTGGTCTACTCCTTCGATGTGTTCGTGCACATGGATTTACATGAGATGCGACACACGCTGACATGCATCCAGTCCATTTTGCGGCCAGGTGGGCCAATTCCACCGTGTCAAGACGAGGGCAGTGAGGGTGCGTCAACTGTCCAGGTCAAGTATCCTGTTTGTCAGTATGCTGGGTCTGCCAGTGGCAGTGGGATTGCGGCTTTGGGCACCCAAGAGACCACGGTTGGGTTGACCAGTTGTTTTTCCTCTAGACTTTAGACATGGTGACACAATGTTCTAGTTGGATTGGAAAGTACAAGTGGCAGAAACAACCGATGATGATGCATTTCAACTCTGCGGATGGACCCAGATCATGGGAGATATGGGAGGATCATGGAGGATCCAGGCGTCACGTCATACCCAAGCATGCAGGCAGGTGGAGTGATCCTTAAAAAACTTGAAAGATGGTGGTGAAATTGAGAGAAATGTAAAGATGCGCCAAGGTGGCCTATAAACGGCAGAATGTAGGTCTGCACTTGACCTCAGGTGGCCTCCTTTTTGTCTCCTTCGCCAACCTCTTGGCACCAGAGGGCTGGCGCCGTTTTGCACGGCAGAAGCACTACAGCGTCGGGGGCTTCTACTTCGTCTCCCCTGACATCGCGACGCACAGACAAAATCACTGTTGCTATTTGCATTTGCGTGTTAGAAACTTAAGGGTCTACAGCAGCATCACCTGCAGGGATGCAGCAATCAGCAGGCTTGGTTCAGTTGTTTCTGTGATGCGCATATCTCATCTCTTGAAACCAGTTCGAAGTTCTCCGCATTTATATCCGACCCCAGAGCCTCCACATTGAGACTCCAAGGAGGTGCCTCTTGCAACGCACCGGCTTCCGCGTGCTGGCGAGCTCCACACCGCGGAGGGGGAACATCTACCTCTGTCGGGATCTGCTGGTCTTGGCGCGGAAGGAGTGACGCAGCGAGTGACGCAGCGGCGGAACAATCGCGGCTTCGATGTCCAGGAAGACTGGAGAAAAGGAAGCGGTGTGAAGGCGGGTGTGAAGGACGCACACACACACACACACACACTCCCTCTTTGTCCCTACATTGCTCTTGGATGTTTGGGAGTAATGACCGGAACATGGATGACTCAGGAACACCGAAAGGGGCAGGTTTGGTGGGGAGGTTTGGTTCTCGCGTTGGACAGACCATGCCTGTCAGTCTCGTACCTCGCTGTGAGCAATCCTGGCCTCCTTGCTGAGGTGATCCAGCCAGCCGTCCCGGTGCAAGAGCCGGTGAAACCCTTGGAGGAGCACATCAGACCCTTGTCAACTTCTCTTGGTGAGGTCTTCGGACATGATTTGGTTGTGAAATTGTATAACAGGTGCCCTCAAGACATAGTGTAAGTACAAAGACAAGAGCATGCAGCAGCGTACTTGCTCCATTGTTTGTTTCTGGCCCATGTAGATCGGCAGAGTGGGTGGGGGTTCTCCAGTTGAATGAAGGATGCCTTCACTCCGAAGCTTAAGCCGCTTAGACAACCACTGTGCGTCAAAAGGTCCCACGCAAGAGGTTAAAGATACATATTCAATGAATCGCCAAGTCACTAGTCACTAGCAACCTGACAGACGCCCGCATGCGCCCCGCATCACTGCCACAAGAACATCAGAACCTTCCATTTCTGCAAGGAGCACGGTCATCTTGAGGATAAGACCGGATAAGACTTGGGTGTGTACCACCAGTTTTCGTCGACGAACACGCTTCCAACTTTCAACCATAAACACGCATCCGATTCATCCGTCCAAGCTGCAGTTGACATCGCCCCATTCTTCTCCACACGAGGAATGCTCCGTTGAGATCTCCCTTTTTTCCCTGCCCCTTAGGATGGCTCGAAGAGCTGCGCGGCAAGTTGCAAGGAGAGCTGAAGACCCGGAGCGAGGAGGAATGGGTGCCTTGGTGTGGTCGGAAGGGATGGATGCAAGCTAGGAGGGCCAGGGGAAATAGCAAAAAAAGACGAGACAACATGTCTTTAAAGCAGTTGTCCAGCTTGTATCTAACATTTGTAACGACTCGGATTGGTAGAGGTGCATCATCCGGACTGGTCGCAGCATCCGTGACCCAGGCGACGCAGGTGGACACTCCAAGTGTCCCCGAGCCCTTCCGCTCCCCAGCCCTTCTGTGACGCGCGTGAACGGCGGGGTTTCTTCGCCGCTGTAGGGCGCTGCTGTGGGGCAGCAAGATCCATGTCGCATAACGCATAACAAGGTAGCACAAGAATGCAACAACAACGCATGAAACATCATTGTTAGTTGCATACTGCTTCTGCAGCAGGTCTGGGATGACTGGGATGCTTAATATTAGCATGCATTGCCGGGTCAATGGTGCCTATTTTTTAGGGGTTCATCACCCGGACACACTGAGCCGTCAGCCTTCCAGCAGTAGGTTGCTCAGTTTTCAGCTGGCCACATCCAGATGGATGGAGGCACTGTGCTACCGTTTGCAGGGCATCCATGCGCCATCCATTGCTGTTGTGTTGCTGGCGCGCGCGAACGCGTGCCATGCCCTTGTACAAAGCTTCAACAAATCTACAGTATTTGATCCTCAAGATAGTGGAGCCGCGCAGTCATCGTTACAGTCATCGTTCCTTGAGCCGAACGGAAAGTTGTCTGGAAGATCCATGTGTCGAGCGCAGCGCTTGACATTTGGACGATCCGTGCGGGTTGGACGACCTTTGTGAATCATTCGTGACATTTGGATCAAGCTCAAGTTCAGGGTGTTCTGTGAAACAGCGAGATCAGCTGAGTGCGCCACTGCGCAATGTCCCCCAAGTCTCGATGAGTGTGGCTCCCAAGTCTTGACTGTTCGGTCGTCAGCAGAGTGCAGACGTGTGAGATCACATAAGCAACCAGCAACCAGCACGCGAGAAACATGCCCAGTCATGGGGTGTGCAAAACCCTGTCACCGATACCGCCGATACCCCACAGGATTCGTACCCCAACAACACGTAATCTGATGGTGGACCAGCTAGATGGTCCACCGAAGATTCCGGTAACCCTCCGCAAACTATATAACATGGAACCTGAGAATTCACCCATAGAAGATCATTTTCCTCTAGAAACCAGTGGTTTTGGAGTTCCATGTTAACGTGCAGGGGAGTATATACCACCAAAAATGGGTCCGGTCACACTGCATGCGACCCCACAACGTTGCCTCAAGGACCTCCCCTGTGGCTTGGAGCCCGGGCCTTGGACGATGTTTTTTTTCCTTTTTTTTGGGGGGGAGGCTAAGAAGCGGAAAGAACACTAGGGTCTATCAGATCTCTCTCTCTCTCTCTCTCAAGATGTCTCTTTGAAAACACCTGAGTGGACAATTTTCCAGTGAGAAGCCGAAAGCCTAGTTTCCAGGGACGCCTGCGATGAACACGGGAGGTTGTTTCTTTTGTGAACGCATCGTCTCCTGCCTGAGGCGTGCACCGTACTTGGAGCCACGCGAGAGGCCTTGTGACCGGGAGTTGAGTTGGTGCAGTTGACAGTTGAGGTGCATGCTGCTTAGGATGGGGGTGCACATGCAAAGGGGGCCCCTTTACCAAGTAGGGAGGTCTGCAACTGACCTCGCCTGGACAAAAAGCTCTCGAGGAGATGAGGCACTTGGCTCACTTTTCTCAGGACGTAGGTGGCACAGAGAGCGCCCCCCTGTAGCGGTGGGGCTTTAGAAGGAGAATGTCTCATGATGCGGGTCTTTGGACAGCAGACGACGGAGAATGCAGAACTTGGATGCAGATTTGTCTCGGCCCCGCAGTCGATTGAGATTGGCTCAAAGCATCAATCCAGGGAGGTGGAAGATGTTCGCATGCTGCTGTGAGAAAGCCGACAAAGATGCAGCTGGTCTCAACGTCGATACCACCACAGTTGATCCGTACATCAGATTTGGTTAGCAGGGCCAGTCGATAGTAGAAAATAGCAGCACAATTGGACTTCTCTTTATAAAGTAGACATTTGCAAAGGTCGGAAGTGAGTCAAAACCATCATTTTTTGAATTTGTTTGATCCTTTGTACTTAGCTTTTGTGCTTGGCGACCTGTGGAGCTGCAACAACCTGTGACGCCTAGGTCGTGGAAGTGGTGGGCGGTGTGCCATTGTCAATGTCGGAGGTGGGGGGGGGGTTGCAGCCTCGGAGCGTGGGGGGAAGCTGGGCGGCTGGGCATGTGTCGGGTGCCGGGAGAACGGCACAACGATTTGTTGGAGGGGCTTCTTTTTGGCATTTGCTCGTGCAAGGCGGAAATTGCCATTGGATCTTGAAGACTGTTCCATTACTTTGGTTGGTCCGTGCAGGGTTGACGCCATTCCCATGGTAGAAGTCTGATGACTGATGACGTGGGTAGAAGGGTGCTCCTCAAATTGGAACGGACTCAGGCTCTGGGTGATGTACTGTGATATGCCCAGGGCAGTGCCCAGGGCCTGGTTAGGCGTGTTTGGGATTCGACGGCTGCAGGATGGAGGAGAATCTTTTAAAAACTCCAGTTGATCACATGGCCAGCCGCAGGCTCAAGAGGACCAGCAGGAACGGAAGGCTCACGTGGCGCTGTGCGGATGCGTGGTTCACCTGAGAGATGCAGAGAGGTAAGAGGAAACCACCCAAGCATTCTTTGCGCCAAGAATTCATCACTGGCAGGAGATTCAGCATGAGTTGTTTGTTTTAAATGGACAGCTATGCCTGGCCAGTCTTTGTGGGTTCTGTCGGCGTTTGGCAGGGCGAAGATCAGGAAGGTTTGAGCTTTACGTTCGAGCTGCCCAATAAGACCATCAAGGCCAGCTTCAATTCCCATTTGGTATGACTTTTCGGGTTTGGAGGTGCATCAAACAATGTTTTGTTGCACTTTGATAATACAAATCACCGGGTTGTACATAGTTGCGCCTGATGCACTTGGAAACACGTGTCTGTTGTTTTCCATGCCTGCAGGAGCGTGTTTTGCTCTATTCACTCAGTTTTTTGCCAATCTGTCTTTGCGCCACATTTATTTCGCTCTGATGCAACCAGCGCCATTGCCACTGTCTGCAAGCTTTCTTCAAGCAGACTGGGTGGTGGGCAAAGGCAAGAAATGGATAGGTTGTATGATTCGAAAATGCTTCCACAAATTCCCGGTGCATTGCCCACGTTCCAGGCATGTGCCAGGGAAAAAGGCCTCACGCGTTCGGGACAAGAATGCACATGTTCCTAGTCCTAAGTTCTCAAGTAAGTTCTCAACAATAAACAAAGAGACGCCAAACTTTCCAGATGCAAATCCGTCATGGAGCTGATGGGTGTGAAAGCCAAAACAGTACAGATAATCAGATATAAACAAGCTTTCTCATCTCCCCCGAACGCCCCCGCCGTCCAAGTTCAGTTGAAGTCACATGCACAAAAGGGAAAAGGAACCGAAACGGGGCCCCGTTTTCAACCACCTTGAGGTTTCTGGAATCTTCCAACTACCCTTGTCAGTTGAAATTTTGGCATGTCAAACATGTATGTAGGGGGTGGCAACTTGAGGAATGAAACCGTCGGTTTTTGAGACGCGCCCCTCCTTTACCGCTCTCTCTGTCGCGCCCGGGCAGGAAGTGCGTTTCTTATCGAGACCTTTGGGCTTGGATTTCAGCCGGTCCATCCCCATGCACGTGAAGGCCGTGAAGCAGGAGACCAGTAATGAAAGGTGGGTTGCACTGGGCGGTGTGTGAAGCCCCTGGTGAGACCTTCCTCTCCTTGATTTATAGTTGGGATCTGTTGGGTCTCTCTCTCTCTCTTAGGAGAGGTACGCTGGTCACAGGCTCTGGCCGCGCCCCTGAACCCTATGTCCGGGTGTTGTCCTCCTGGTTTCCTCCTGCTGTCCTCTGGCCGCGCTAGTCTTATCCTGTGTTATCCTCTTGTCTGGTGTGCTCCTACTGTCCTCCTTGGCCGCGCTGGCAAGCGCTGTGTCTTTCTCTTGTCATCCTGGTGTCCTCCTGCTGTCCTCTGGCCTCTCTTGTCTTCCTGGTGTCCTCCTACCCTGTGACCTCCTGGTGTCTGCACTGGTGATGACACCGTGGCCGCGCGCTGTTGCCGTGCCTTTCTTATCCGATCTTCTCCGCCCGGAGAGGGCTTTGTCAACGCCTTGTCCGAGCCTTGTCCCGCTTTCTCTTTCTCCACCACCTTGTCCGGGTATGTTTTCGTGTGGCTATGAATGCAACAGTGATAAACAGCGTTTCGAGTTTGATATCATCCTGTCCTTGACTTCTCATGAACTCATATTATAATGATTACACCGGTGAAAACGAACTTTTTTGTCAAAAAAACATTTTTTTGGCCGCATGTTAGTCTAGTTTCGGAGCGGACACCGTTGAGCCTAACCTAGACCAAATTCCGATGTGCCATGGTGGGCCGCACGGGTATTTGGCATGGTCCATGTTAGCCTCCACCGGGCTATGTTGACCTCTACCGGCGGTCTATGTTAGCCTGCGTTCAGTTTATAGTCAGATTGTACTTGGTCCATGTTAGTGTCAGAATCGATCATAGACTGAGAGTGGGAACGGTCCATGTTAGTGAGTGTCCAGAAATTGCCCCAAAAAAAGCTAACACCGTTTCCCCAGGAAGTCGCCGTTTCCAGTGGTCCATGTTAAAGTGCACTTGCCATTCAGTTCGGAGTATATAATTTTATATATACCATCGTTTTTGCGCATGTGACCCAGGAATCAGGAACAGCTGTTCCCAAGCAGCTGGGGGCTATAGGAATATGGTTGGAATTCAAGGAGTTGACGCAAAAAGAAGCTGAATCTGTTTGGGGTCTATGCCGGCATAATTTTTTTTGCTCAATTTACTCTACTGCAGGCATGAATAATAGCCCCATTCAAAGAGCATCTCACTTCAGTGCCAGTTCCATGCTGTAGAAAGGGAAGAGCCTACTGCGACGTTTAATCAAACACATCCGTCCAAACATGTTGCATCATTGTCATCCTTGCAATCCAACTGTGTAGATGACCTAGTTCATCTTGGAACCAAGGCCAGCAACCCAAACCAACCACTAGTCACTAGTCTTGGATGCTGGCCGCTTTTCCTTCGAAATCCATTTGGGGCAGGACTCCCTGGCAGCCTCAGCGAACATCCAGCCGCGCTGGGTCCTGACTCACCTACAGGGAGCGCCGTTGCCCACGGAGCACCTCGACTGCACCGGTGACGGAAACAAGCGGCGTTACCCCTCCGCTTCGTCCGCTCGGCCAGGGGCGGCTTTAGGCATCTTGGGAGCTTTATGGTATAGTGAAGGGGGAACATTGAAATCCTCCCGATGCCCCGATCTAAAGACAGAATGGCCTGCCATGAAGAACATTTATGTGGGGACCCCGGACCCCGTCGGAAAAAGGGCATGCGGTCATGCCAGGGCTTGAATTGCCTTGTTGCATGGCTGGCTTCAGGTTCCAAGATGCTATGCACACCATCTACAATGCCGTGTGGAAGCTTCCGGAGAAGAAGCAATGAGCACCACCCGCGGCCTTCGCAACACTACTGCGAGCTGCTAGGCAAACGATTGGGGGGAGCGGGCCAGACTGGTGGGCGAGAAACTGGCGGGTCACACCGGTTGTACGTCCTGTGTTTGGCTTTGTTTAGGGCACGGTGACCGCCGGCCAGCGGCTCGGTAGGCCACAGAACCGAATTGGCGGCCGCGGCCGAGAACGAAAACAGTGTGAGCAGGTCAGCCAGCGTCCTACAGCGGTACCTCACACCTCCCGTACCACAGGATCACAGGTTTAGAGCAGTCTTCATGGTCGATCGCTGTAGTTATAGTGCTGGGACCTGCCTTGTAGAGCCATGTTTTCACCACTCGAAGGCTCTAGGTGCCTTTTCTTTGGCTTGCGCGAGTCCCATGAAATCCATTCAGGTTCCCGAAACATGTCATCGTAGAAAGCTGACATAAACCGTGACAAACAAAAAAGACCCTTGGGTCAAATCCCCAGGATTGGATCCAACTCGTAGGATTTCCAGCTCCTCGAATAATCCTCAGGAATTGCCACAGTATCCCCGGTATGGATTGGCGCTCGTAGAAATCATGGTTTGACAGTTGGTATGGCTTTGGCAAAGGGGTTTGACTCAATGACATGTTTTGACATTTGATGAAGGGACGCCCCGAGTTGAGTTGCATAAGATGGAAACCTTGAGATGGAATGGGAGGCAACCTCATAGCTGGACTTGGACAGAATTGGTGAATGGTCTAATTTCAGATCTGAGGGGACAGTTTTGCCCCATCAAATTTGAAGCAGCTCTCAGGAATTGAACCATTTTGAACACCATTCTTGTATTCAGATTTTGTACCAAACATATTCTTCCAGCTGGTGACCAATCCAGTGGAAGTTCATAGTGCTTCTCCCAATGCTCCCATACATCACGAGGCTCGTTGATCTTGCCTTGGAAACACCCCTTTTGCTGAGGCCTCACCTGGTTCTGTCCGTTTCACTCTTGCCAGACCTGTGTCAGCCTCCGAGGGCACTGTGGGACGCCACATGTTGTCGGTGTGGCCAGTGGTCGGGAGTTATAAAAGTGTTTCCGTGTTGGTTTGTTGTGTTTGGCCTTGGAGGTGACCCAGGACTGGCAGTCCTGTCATGGCCGATAAATCATGTCTCACATGGCCAACGGTCGTTGTCTCAAGGCCATGAGTGCAGGATTCATCAATGGAGGGCCTTTGCAAATGTAAAGGTCCTACCAACGAAGCATAGCTGTGGGTCAAAACCTGGTGTTTCTAGCTCTGGTGCAGCCACCAGCTGTGGCACTGCTGCCATTGTGCCAGAAGAGGGTTTCGCAGTTTGCTGCAGGGTTCTGACCCCTCCACATTTTTGAATCGTCGCGTTGCTCACTTGGCAGAATCAGGTCAGGTGCTAGCCCAGGTAGGTTGGCACACCTGAGCACTCAACAACATACCCGTACTCTCTAGAAAGTACCCACCAGGTGCTGGGATTTGATTCTTTCAATCTTGGTGCAGATTGCTGTGATTATTCACGTGGACGCAAGAAACCCGAGGAGCTTTGAACACTTTGCGTTGCCTAGGCTGTTCAAATGCTCATATGTCATGTTTTAAGGTGCTCAGATGCAGCTGGAATGAAAGTTCGAGTGTCATCACTGCGGCTGGTCACGGAAAACAACTGGAGCAGAGTCGGCCGTCCAAGTCTTTTGCAGAAGAACTCAGATGTGCAAGATGGAGCCTCCAACTGCTGGGTTTGCGTTTGGGCAAGAACATGTGGGACCAAAGTAAGTGTATAAGGCTTCCGGTAGGTGGGCAGTTTGTTTCTTCTGAATGCAGACCACCACTCCAGGGGTGGTCTCAGACCTTTTTCCAGGCCTGGGCTGGCTCATTGCAGGCGCGTAGACGGCGTAGACACGCGTAGGCACATGGGCCACCTTCCGGGGCACATGGGCGGCTGAGCTTCGGCTCCTCTTCAGCCGCTTCGTTCGGCCCGCCACGCTCAGGAGCCACGGGTCGTCTTCTCCGCGAACGCCACGCGGAAGGTCTTGGCCGTCCCAGGCTGGGAGCGCCCCAGGGCCGCATAGAGCGGCACAGTAGGTTCGGAGACGGCTTCCTGAGCCGACAGGTCTGCAGGATGGCTTCCTGAGCCTCGTGGTCCCGCGATTGGACTTGAAAGAAGGCAGGTGCCGGAGATGCGGGTTTGTGTGGTGGGTTCGTCGCTGGTGACCTGGTGCTGTTCTCAATTGAATTCAGGGCGGAGGGGAATCAAGATGGCTGGTTGGCAGCGCTCTGCGGTGTGTCCTTTCGTGCTGCGAACTGCCACGAAGTGGGACATCAGCAGGTGCAAAGTGAGCAGGTGAGGGAAGTTTATTACGTGTTCCTTTCCGAGAGTTGGCATGTCGTGATATTCTTGAGATGCATGCCTAAATCCGCCCCATGAAGCACCTCCCAATGGCCACAGCGAAGCCGACCCACAACCACACCGCTTCGGTCGACACGGAGCTTTTTCGGAGGCGATGTGGTGGAGGTCGCCACGGAGCTGGGGAAGACAAGCTTGCTGGACGTGGCCTGGACAGCGGGGCAAATCCTTTCGAAGCGTGGCACGGCCGCTTGGGACGCAGTTTCGCGCAGGGCGGTACAGCGTGGCACGAGTGCTGTCCGGTGCTGCCGGGGTGGTCAGGAAGACGGTCAACAAGAGCGTTACGATAGAAATCCAAGCGAGACCAGGTCCTTCCAAGCATCGTGGTCTGCCTTCAGTGGATCATTCCACATGGACTTTGGACCAACTCTTCTGTGGTGCTTTGACAACTCTGCTTTCTTCGGATCTCCCCAGTGGTTTGCACGCGGAAACTTTCAACTGGGCCCCAACCACATAGAAACTACCATTACTGCATGTATTTGATTGCAGAGTCTTGGAGGTCCAGATTGACCATTGCCGTCCTGTTTGGAACAGGCCGTAGGCTGTTACACACAACTGATGGATCAACCAAGCCGACCCTCTTGGCTGAACACTCTCCCCGCACAGACGTATAATTCATGCTTGCCATACTTGCGGACCCACCATCCGAATTGAGAAAAGCACGCAAAAACCAACAACCAGGAAGATGCAGATCTTACCTGTAATGTCCAGGCATGAACGCACGAAGGAACATGGAGTCCTCCAAATGTTGAAGAGCCAACTGTTGGAGACTTGTGCCTCCAAAATCTGTTCAGGAGATTGAGTTGAGGCCGCTGGATGAGCAGCTCAAACCCTTCTGGCACCTCAGCTCGAGCTGGCCGGATGGGAAGGGATGGGATTACTTCAAGTATGATCCAGTCTATCGGGACAAGCTAATGAGCCAAGAATCATAAAGAACATGTGCTTGAGGGCTTCCCGTGAGGTCTCTAGGCCAAACCTGGCTGAGGTTCAGTGGGGTGCTGTTCCGTCGCTTCCCATGGCGATATGTGCCACGGCAGTCAGAGGTGGTGAGAGTGATGACCGTCAGAAGGGCTCGACTCACTAGATTCACTGATCGCAGCTGCTGGAGAATGTCGTTGCTTCCAGCCTCTCTACTTCTGGTGTGGAAAAAAAGCAAGAACGTTTGATCACCACCAGTTCAGCATGAACAAGAGCTAACAAAAAGCGCCAAAGTGGTCGCCCTGGTCGGCTGGCCGGGGTCGTCCATCTCGAACCAAACCACTCAGGTGGCTTTGGACGTCAACGACGCTGTGGAGGTCTGTACGACGCGCGGCTGGGAGCTGGCCCACGTGCAAAGCATCCAAGCAGCCAATGACAGCATCGCTGTGGCCTTTGAAGATGGACGCTCGGCTGTCCCAAAAGCGGAGAAAACAGCGGACAGTTGGAAGGGCTCGACAGGTGGAAGGTGGAGTGTGTTTGTGCGTGTGCGTGTGTGATTCGGCTGCAACAGTTTCGTGGAGTAGGACATGATTCGGCTTCGCTGTGGCCATGTGTAATCCCTAATTTTACATAATGAGTTGGTACATGCATCAGGCCTTCCATTCATGTCATCAACAACAAAATCCTTCCTGTGTTTGTGCACTCGTCTCACCGCGCCCTCAGGTGAGACGTTCCCTTTGGGCCGGCCCTGGGTGCGGCGTCCGGCAGGACCGGAACGAGCAGATATAGTAGAGGGGCTCCAGGGTGATGTTCAGGGCTCCAGGGCTTTGCGGATTGGAAGAAGCAAAAAAATCGTTGAAGATCCTTTGAGGTCGTGGATGAGAAGGTTGAAGAAGCCCTTTCCGAAATTTGTGCAAGAGCAGTGGTCAGGAAACGTATTGGGATCCATGGACTATGCGCAGATTGCGGTCGATGACAAGGTGAAGGTTGAGACATCCAGAGGTTGGGAGATGGCCAAGGTGCTTCACAAGGCAAGGCTCAGAAGATGAGGCAGAAGTACTCCTAGTCGCTGTGTCGTGCTATCAAGAACAGGTCCGCACTCTTGGCTTTTTCAGCTATATAGTACAATTTCCATTTGTTGTATCATCATTGATCCTTGAGACGTTGGATGCACCAGCACGCCAAATCGAGGAGATTGAAATCGGAAAGCATTGCTGCACATCGTCATTCTGCCATGGCAAGGTTTCAATGTTCATCTGTCCAAACTGCCATTGCCGCCTGTCCCTTGAGTGCCCTCGCAGGGCGACTCCACCCTGGATCTGGAGATGTGCCCCGATGGCGAACGATTCTCTGGGCGCCCCAGGATCGTCGGCCCCATCGCAGTGAAGGACGCCGCGTGCCCGGACGAGTGAAGACGGGCGTGTAAACGAACAGGTGGTCGAAACTGTGTCTATGCATAACTTTATCACATTTTACCAATCTATCATAAATCTCCCTCTCTCTCTCTATATATATTGACCATTCACGCGCACACATACACACACATACACACCAAACGTCGCAGCTCCAGCAGGACCAGACCCTGAAGCTGTGGAAGGAGAACCATCAATTGCGGGCACAGGTGGCCGAACTCTCTGCTTTGAAAAGCATGGTGGAATCCATCAGCGTGGCAGCTGGGCCGCAGATCTTTGCACGACTTCCCTGGCAGGTGGAAAGACGACCTTTCAATTGACCATAGAAAGACAGAAGGAGAGAAAGAGAGGGGGATACATAATGATTACCTGCACTGAATTAAACCAATCAACCTGATCTTTGAAGAGAAAGACTTCGTTTTTTGTTAAACAGACTTGGGCTCCATCAGTTGCATCTCCCAGTCCTTTAGTCATGGAGGCCCTTTATACTGCATGCTATCGAAGAGTCCTGCCCGAAGGTGCAGATCTCCATGTTTTTGGCCCAGCACAAGATTTCCGGGTACGTGCCTGGGATGAACGGGCTTGAGACGCTGGGAGTGGGTGAACCTGTGGAGGGTTGATGTGGGGAGGATGAGGACACCCCGCTGGGTGAGCCACAGTGGCCGTGCCGAGGTTCAAGAAATGCTGACACCTGGCGGCTGAGATGCGCACGCCCCACAGGCGGATCAGGACGTGTGCACGAAGCACATGGTGAACTGAAGACCTTGGTTCTTGATGAACCTGATGTGATGCTGAGCGAGGAGTTAAAAGAGGGACACGGGAGAGATGCGCGGTGCATGTGGAGGCGCAAAAAGAGAGACCGGCAAAGGTAGTTTGGCCCACCGAAGTTCACCCCATTGGGGTATAGTGAAGCTACTTTTTTGTGATGGTGGATTGGACAGTGTCTTGCTAGACTGCTAGACTGTTCATTTCGCGGCAACTCAGATGATATATGTTCAAGCAATTTACCTAGGCGGTTTTGGCATTGTCTAACAATTCAATCCTAGCCAATGTGGCAATGCACGAGCCCACCTGGTGGTGCAGATGTGGCAAGATTCATCCGCAGAGATTTCACCAAAGAGAAGCAATGGCGGCGTACCGGCGTAGAGCAAAACATTTTGGGGTCAACTTGAAGTTGGTTGGCGCCATGGAGAACCCCTGACTGCAAGCTTTCAGACCTAGACCCAATAGAATTCTAATGGATTGTATATCAACACCAGGTAGTTTGCATGACTCTCCAACTCACTTGTTAATCGCGTGGAATTTGGTCATCCTTCAGCTCTGCCGCTTCCATCTGCTGCTTCCCAATGAGGCCAGCCGGGAGTGGGTTGCACTCCGGATGGGGGGACATGTTCCGTGCACGAGAAGGGTTGGACCACCATGAAACCACGGAGTCTCAGGCCCAATGGACCGGAGCTGGAGTCTCAGTCCGGAAGATCGGTTTCGGAGCTGGAACACGGAACGAGGAGGGCAATGAAGATGGAAGAACATTTCCACAGCAATTTCATATACTTTCTACTTCTTTTTTTCCTCTCTCTCTCTCTCTCTCCTCTCTTTTTGCTTGACATTTGCCCTCTACTCTACTTGACAGAGTTGAAGCGGCGACACCTTTGGCAAGAAACTGTCACAAATGAAATCAAAGAGATGAGCGAGCGCAGGGCCGCAGGGATAGGATTCGTTCGGCAGAACATCAGCCCTGTGTCGCTGTTGAAATTGTTGAAGCTGAGTGGTTCCGTTTTGCATGGCCATTTTGGCATCAAAGCGAGCCGTCGAAGCGGGCCGGCCCTCAAGCGCTCCCGCCATGGAGATACTGTTGGATCATTCCATTGGTGAACTTGGCAGTGCAGAAGTGGTTTTCAGTTGTTTTTCGACACCCGAAGACGAGCATGGTGGAGAGTTTAGGCGGAAAGCCCCCACCCATTATGCTTTGGAGGGCACCCCCCTGGTGACACGTGAAAGTCGATGAAAGCGAGTGGGCGGACATAAGTTCGCCCTGACTTGAGAGTCTTTATATATATATATATATATATACTCTATGCCTTCAGTTGCATGCATGAGCTCCTTGCTCGGATGGATCCTATGCACATCTATGCGTTTGGTGTCCTTGTTGAGGTATTCCAGAGGCTTGCATCCTGTCTGTGCGCTGTGGTTCGACGCGCCGACAAGCTCCCTTTGAGACGGTGGCTCACCATCCCTTGAAGTTCCCCATCGGCCTAGGTCACGGCCTCGGATGGGCTGAAAGCCAGCGGATGGGCCAAAAGCCTCAGATTTCCAGGTGAAACCTTTCTGTTGGGGTCTGTGCTTTTGCCGTTGGCTTTGCCTTTTCTTTGATTTTGTGGTATTTTTTCCTCCTCTTCGGATGCAGACGTTGAGACACATTTGATCATGAGGTCTGGTCACATCCACTCACCTACAGGTCCTGCCACACCCAGTCCTGCACCACTCACGAACCCTCAAAGTTCTTCCTTTCGGGGAAACACACAGGTGGACTGGTATACTGGTATGGCATGTTGGCTCTCCTAGAGATGAAGCAGCTGAGTTTTCGCGTGTTTCTGGGTCCCCCGAGTAGCGGTGCAGGAGAGCTCGGGGAGCCGCTGAAAGTGGATGTGCTGTTGCCCTTGGCCTCAGCACGCTTGGTGCTTCATCCAAGGGAGGATCTCTACAATGTGGCCTTTGAACAGAACAGCGACATGCCACTGGACCTGAGTTGATTTGGTCGAGCGTGGCCATAAGACAGCAAGATTTAGCAGCACGTTCCAGCATCGTTGTCCATCACCCTGCTAATCGTCAGTGATAAGGGTTGTTTGCTATGCATTCCCTATCGGTCCTGGCACATGGATGATTTTGGGCTTCATTCTTCCCATCCTTTTTTTTTTGCAGATTTCCGGGATCCCGTGGTGAGATGACCTTAGTTTGGCCGGAGTAGCTGGGGAGGTGTTGGGATGAGACGTGGAAAACCTGGTCAATGGGATGTTGACAGATCACCGACCTCGTTGGAGTTCCAGCTGGTGAAGTTTTAGTTAATAGTCCATGGAATCGGGGGGGAATGATCAGGCCGGCCCCAACCGATGCAGATTGCAGATTGGATCTTGTTGGATGGAGCTTCAGTAGCCCTTGCTGGAAGGTTCCATGTTTGGAGACTCGAGTTTCGATCGAGTTTCGTCATTTAGTCACCCAATGCCACAAGAAATGTCACCAAACTGATGCGGCCTTTTCCTTACAAAGGTGGTTTTGTGGGAGGTTGCCAGCATGCGCCAGCTGTCCTCCCAGGACCGAGGACACGTGTTCACCCTTTTTCACCCCTGACCCTCTTGTGATCTGAGGTTCGTGGGCTTGAAGTGCAGCCCCCACACGGGCCGCGAGGAAGCATCGCAGGAAGGCTCCAAGGATGCGGCCAGTAGTGCCAAGGACCATGTCGGCCCCAGGTAAACGGTGGAAGCATCAGTGAGGCCCCAGTTCGTTGGTGGAACATCTGGGGGTGGCACATGATCACAGACTTTTCAAAGGCCCATGTGAGTCATGAAAACGGGTTTCCCCGGTGTGTGGGTGGTTGGGGTTTCCAGCCTGTTTTCAAGGACTACTTGGAGCGGCATGGGCTGCTGAAATACGTCCAAGCCTTGCTCCATGCGGTGATCCAGGTGGGGAAATGGTTCAAGTCCGCTCAGCTCAATTGAGTCAATTGAGGCCAGCTTGGGGATCCAAGAAGGCCGTTTTTCTAGGTTTTTCTTTCGCGCAGGTGAAGCCATCTGATCCCTATGCCTACATGATCGAGCAGCTCAGCGCAGCCCAATCCAAACGGGGCACTTTGGCGCAAATCGTCTCTCGCCCCAGCAGCGCCATGGGCGTGCGCCCGACGCCGCCGTCGGAGCCTCGGGGCGCTGCGGGTCGGCCCCGGCCGCCCCAGAAAGAGCTCGTACAAGTGGAGCAAGCGCCGGGGCCAGCGGCAGAAGAGCCGCTCGTCCTTCCAGGCTTGGAAGGGGTGAGGCTTCAACTGAAGGGGCGCTTGGAAGAAGCCTTCCAATCAGGGAGCCTGGAAGAAGCCGTCCGCCGGGCGGTGGGTGAGAATGAAACGCCTGAGGGCGTAGGCGGCAAGAAAACTTCCTTTGCTCCGGAAGAACCTCTAAATGGTGAGCCAGATGCAGGCCACCTCTCCTCGAAGCTGGAGATGAGGGAGGTGCTCGAAGAAGCAGTTGAGAGCCCTGGACATAGGTAGTGTGTATTGTGTCACAGATCGCCGATAGACGGGTCCCCCATATCAGATTCAATCCGCATCTTAGGAGCAAGACCTTGAAGAAGACCGTGGCGGCCACCGGTTCTGGGAAACAATGCACATGGGAGGAGTGAGCTGTGGTGATGAGTTGGGGACGGGGCCAGCTGGCAAAGCTTCTTTGAAATCAGCACAACTGTTGGCCGTCTTCTTGACTCCTTTGTTTTGCTGCATCTTCTCGTATTGACTGTGGTCGGAGCTTCTTGTGAGCTTGCTTCAGCCACCAAGCCGGCTCTCCGAGCCTGCCTCCCTGAGGAGACCGAGGAGACTGCTGCAAGGACCAGTGGCAGGAAAGGCCAGGCATGGTAGGACCGAAGACTTCACTTGCTGCTGAAGTCTGATACCGGCGACTGTCAAGGGTCTGAAAAAGGGGTGCCCCTTTTCATTTTGATGTCAGTTTAACAGTTTAACTGAAGGCACGACCCCAGCATCCCAGCAGGTTGCTGGTAAAGTAAGCAGTCCACCCAGACTCTAGATGACTCTAAGACATCTCTAGACCATCCATGGTAGCATCCTGGTGGGGACGCCACTCCCAACCTCTCCGTTCGGAGAGATGGCCTGGGATGTGCCACATTGCAGGTACTGGCTTTGTTGGCGCTGGGGACCTTCCAGAGTCGGACGAAGACGACGAAGAGGCTGAAGCGGCTGAAGCGTGAAAAATCTGAAAGCCAGACCTGTGAGCGTTGTCTTCCATCGAGTTCTCATGCTTTTGGTCCGGCCATTTTTGGGCCATAGACTTTTCATGACATTTCCACAATGCTTTGAAGAAATGACAGACGTTTCTAAGGATGCTTGGAGAAAGATTCTTCATATTAATATGCTTCTACTCTGCCCAGGGTCGCACGTCGGGGTGGTTGATGCAAGAATTGCCAGGCTCCAGCTGCTGGTTCTCATGCACGTGGGGTAAGCTTTTCCGCAGCTCCAGCCTTAAGATGCTGTCAATTGATGTGAAGATTTGTAGCAGCAGTTTCCAACCATGCGCACGCGTGTAGCTTGCACAAGGATTCCCGATCTGATTCGGAGAGCAAAGCAGCGGTCAAGAGAGGCCAGGACACGCAGTTTTGAAAGCCGGTTGTGATATCGGAGAAGGTTGCTGCATGTTCTCCCTTGCTTCTTGCATGGTGTTTCGTGCAGGCACTGGCTTTGTCGCTGTGACAGACTTGCCTGTCTCGGATGATGAGGAAGAGGAGGAGGAGGAAACGCAGGCGTGGAGTGCACTCGCAGGTTTGAACCAAGCAGTGTTGAGCAGGTGAGTATGGACATATGGAGACCCCCCCCACCGGAAAAGAGGCAAGCACTCCGTTTGTTGGGGGGTCTCACTTCACAATGCACATCCAGATGTTTCATCTATTGCTATTCTTGGCCAGAATGCTTGGATCATCTCCAAGAAAGGGATTTGGTTGGACTTTGAATGGGACCATTGTGAAGGGCCCTTCCTCACAGCCAGAGTGAGGTGTTGCACCATGTTGGCATATCAAGTGATGGTCTTAATATACCTTAGTGCTTTCAGATGCATTCAGATGCTGGCTGCACTTTATTTAT